GGCCGCCCCGACCGAGGTGCAGACCAAACATCCTGGGGAGGGAGCTTCCGAACACGCACATTTTGAGAGCAGAAGCAGGAGAAAGGGGGTTCAGGTCGTGCCTCCTCCGCAGGCTCGAGGGCAGCAGCGCGGTTTCATGCCTTTCGCCCAGGCGTCAGTGGTTTTTCAGTTTCTTTCCCCTCTTCGTCCCGGATGTCGAAAGAAAACAGTTATTACTAAATCAATCAGTGCACAGTTATAGATAATATGCATTATTTAGATAGGTCTTTCAAGATGTAGGCATTTCTACATCAGCGTAGGCAATGCAGGGCCCAGCCGCACAGCAAATGTTGTTACATGAGTCCTTGAATGAATCTGCAAGAAGTTGGAGCCAATCTTTTTTTCTTTACTTTGGTGCCTGGTAAGTCTCATTAGCTATAGCAGATCTGCCCTCGCTACCATCTAGCTTCACACGGCTGCCTACGCTTCCAAAATATGATGGAGCTACCTATAAATAAATATAAAAGAAGGCAAAAGGCTCAACAGCTCGGTGAATTACGCTGTCCCCGTGCGTTACTCAAAGGCAGCTCGTTAATTAGATTTGCATCTGAAACGGGCAGTGGGAGTTTTGGGGAAGTGTGTGAGAGATAATTAGTATTAATGTGCTTGAAGGGCACACAAATACACCTTTGAAGTGAGTCATGTCAAAATTCAAGCGTTTGACCTTGATCAATATAAATTTGTTTCAGTATCGGTGAACAAGAAGAGGTCTATAAAATACTCTTAAAGGACATTCCTACGTAGAGCAAGAGGATTTTCTTACACGTTAAAGCGATCTTAAAAAAGGAAGCTTTTACTAGTCGGAAGATAAGGAAAGGCATACGACCTTTTCCCAAAAGGAATGGCAGGAGGGCAAAGCGATCTAGAAAGCTACTCGCTATTTTAAGTTGGACTTAATATTTAGTAGTTCTCCAGGGCTAAAAGGCTTTTCATTACATAGTCGTCTGGAATAAAAGGAAACACATAAAAAACCCACAAGCACCCCTCTCCGCCATTACCACCTCCCCCACCCCCGGCTTTTCTTCTCCACAAGTTAAGCCCTAACCTCACAAGGAGAGTTTGATCTAGGGATGATAAATGTTTGTACAATTAATTCTTTATCGTTGTTTTTCTGCAATGCCACTTACAGGCAGCAATGCAGTTTAGCAAAAGCAAATGATTAAAAATTGAAATAATGAAAGCGCTATGTGCGTTAAAAATAAGAAAACATAAACATGCAGGACAGTAATCTTGGTGTGTGCGGGGGGGGGGGGAATGGTTGCTTGTGGGCCAAATCCTTCAGTTCTTCCTAAAACAACAACCCCTCTGAAAAAGGCTTCCTCCAGGGACGCACAGTAAATCGTGTCCTGTGTACTCCTAACCTCTCCCGAGCTACAAGACAGAGCTGAGAGCAGGAAAAGAAAAATAATCGACGAACATGCCACGAGTTTCCTCAAAGATATATTCACAGACAATGTGAGAAAGTGAGATACAGCATATTTACACTCAATAATTATAACGACCTCTTCCGAGCTGATCTCAGGTCGTCCCGAGGCTGGTGCCTCTCCATGTAGATGCGCAAATGACATTCTACAGTTTTGGATTTGCAGGGTATTTTTCGTTAGTGCTCTGAAAAAAACAAACCCACAAAATCCTCCTCCCTCCCCCCCCCCCCCCCCCCCACCACAATAATAAACCAAAAAGACTAGTGGGTGGAAGAGTAACACGTTAATGACTTTTGCTCAAATTGCTTCCATCTTGATCACATTTTCATAATTAGCACCATCATGTACAAATCTTTCCGCCCTGGGCATCTAACACAGACAGGCTTCCCAAGCGATGTGTATTCTACTTATTAGGGAGGGGAGCACTTACAGGTCTGTCATTAATGGGTCCCTTTCAAATGAAATGAATACGACCTCCCCTGAAATATCAAAGGGCTGCAGCTACCTTGTCTCACTTGGGACAACATTGAATAGCAGGCAACCGTAAGTCGTTTTGCTCTAGTCAGACATCTATACAATAAAATGTAAGCCCACTCTTGTATATTTTAAGTTGTCTGGTGACCATTTCTGAAAACAAAAAGGGGTCCCTTTGATGTGGTCTAATTCTAGCAGAGGGTGGGACGTCAGATGTGGTCTACCGATTCTTTCTGGAAATATTTTTAATTATGCCCCAAAGCTCCTTGTAGCTCCAAAGTAATAATCAGAGAGCAGTTTGGGTCTGTTACTTAACGTGGAGGGGAGAACGGGCTCTAGACCGTGTGTAACCAAATTAGAATTACAACCTAGAATGATCTATTAATTTGCTTGAAACGTGTAATTTTAAACGGAACATGTGAGGTATCTATTATTCTTTATGCTTGGTCTTGCTAAGGGAATATTTCAAGCGTTCTTACGGCTAGGCGATAAAGACAGCATTTCCTCTAGCAAGTCACTGGCTAAAAGTGAGTATTTGAGACAGATGTTTTTATTCTTGCAGTGTGCTCCGATTCCAAAGCACACAACCCCCTGTACTCTCAGCTGATGGCTCTGGGAGAAGGACGATGTATTCAGATATGATCGTCTATGATCTTTTATGACAAAGCAATACACAAAAATGCACAATCTTGAAAGCCAGCCCCCTCCGTTAAGAGCGCTAGCTAGCTTTATCCTGTAATGAACTTTGCAAATACACATTTTGCAAGGATTCAGCTTTAATACTGCTGTCGTTCACCCTCTGCTTTTGCTACGTTGCCCAACGGCCGTGCTTCGAGCCCAGCGCCCAGGGAGCAGCTCGCTCCTCTGGCGCGCGCCTGTGATTTACAGCAGCCCCGTTATTCTAACGAGAAGGAAGTTACAATTTGTAGAGCAGTAAATACCAAGGTGGTAGGTGGAGCCCCCAGCAGAAAAAATCACCCTCCTTCACCAATTGAAAATCCATCCTAGCTCCAGCGTGGACCGTGGGAAGATCTCAAAGAAAATATGGCCTCAGTGCTTGCTAGATGTTTTGTTTGCAACTGTGTTAGTGCAGTCTCCTTCTCAGCAGAACTTTCCTGCTTGATACAGTTTGATCACACCTGCTGCTGCTGATATGGGGTAGAGGTTACAAAATTCAATTGATTTTATTCAGCAATATTTTGTTTTCTTTGTGGTTTCCCTGTGGGGCTCTCCTGCACCCTGTGAACAGTATAATCTTGTCTAAATGACTTTCCAGACCACACAGCATCACATTACCCTGCTCCATACATGTCAGCAATATTATTTATTGTATTGTACTCGCTCAACTTCCGAGAAGCAGGATGCTGGGGGGTGGAGGAGACAGCAGCTTTGCAGCTTAGCATGCTCTCTCAGGTGGAGAAAATAGAATTTCCTTCAGTGTGTTTCAAGCGAAAGTAGACACAAAGAATTCTCTAAAGAAAATATTAGGTACGTAACAGATGTATCGTCAGTTCTCCACCCGCCTGAAATGTTTTTCATTTTTACGATTTCTTTTTATGTTTTATGGACAACTAATCTATGGTCTTCAGATTTGGGATGATATAGTTCATTTTACATCTATTATGCCGGCCATTTTTATATTGCACTTCAGACATAATAGATTAATTTAGAACTTCTAGAACCTCTATATTTAGTTTAAAGCCATGTGTAGTTGGTTTGCTGACATCACTGAGATCTGTAAACATAACTGTTACATGTACATATTTTAAATTCTTATCACTATTTACAGTTTTACTGATATAAAGATGCCAATGCCTAAGCTCCTTACTCTAGCAAATTTCTATTAAAGTCAGCACGCATTTGCTTGGCTGAGGAGTGCGGGATTAATCCTTGATTCAAAGTCCGTGGAATTCACTAAGAGCCTTTCCTTTAGCACCACAGTGCATTTGGATCAGGCCCAATCTTATTACTAGAAAAATTATATTCCCTTGTTCTCTGATAATCTCTTAATGGTTGATTGAATGGAAATACTCAAAACAATGAATGCAGCAACATCAAACAAAAATTCTAAATAGCTCGCTCTTTCCTCTGTTACTTACTCCTTTTCACTGCAAGAAAGGAAGGAAACAGTAGACAGCGATGTAACACTACAGAAATATGTGCTGCAATGCAGTTTAGATGACTGTCATGTGGCTTGTTAAGGTTTGTGGCAGACTCAAACAAAGCTACAATAGGGATATTCAGACTGATACAGAACTGTGAACCGCAGCCATGAAAATAACTAAATAAAAGGGATATGGAGTTGTCTGGAAGTGGAGAGAGGGAGCATGAAAACATAGAAACTTAATTCGTCAGTGGCTGGGGGGCCAGATTTGCACACCTGCTTCCCACTGTTGAGATCCCATTCGGTCACTTCATAGGCTGAGCTCTTGGAAAAACTTTGCTGCTTTCTTGGTAACTCAGTGTTTTTAAAATCGGCTCCAGAGCATTTCTCTGGATGTACAGGAAAGCGGGGTGTAACTGAGAGAGGAGTATGGCCCACACCCCAGGTGTGTTTGTCTTTGTGCAGGAAGTACCCGCTATTCAGATAAATCTTACTACTTTTAGAATTTCTCTCCCTGTTACTTTCACAATCAGAAGCTTGTTACGATCTCACTCAGCCCTGCAAATCTCCGGGAATTGGGTTACCTGGAGATAAAAGGTCGCTCTTTCTCCAAGCTGTGGTTGGATCAACACTCTGCAAAATCAGACAACAGGCTTAGGGGTCAGGCCCAGGTCTGCGCATGCAGCTGCCCAAAGGCCAGGAGTAAAAACGGAGCATAGTTGCTTTAGGAAATGTCCTGTGCGGGAACATATGTCCCTGGAAGAGTTTCAGCCCCTGGCCGTGCTATCTCCATCCCAGCTGCTCTGGGCAGGGGTGGAGACACTCAGGATGCTGGGAGCTGGGCAGAGCGCTCCTGAGGCGCCCCGACCAGCTTGGGCTGAAATCAGGACTCTTTTGCTCCCCTCCAGGACGGTGCCACAGCCACCCAGGAAGCCCAGAGTGGAGGGGGAACAGGGCCGGGCTGCAGCATCCTACCTGCCGTTACAAAACAGGCACCATCCCGTGTTGTGCAATCCCTACCTGTCCCGCAGACACCCTCTACAGGGAGTGAATGTGTGCATCCCTGCTGCGTCTGGAGCTTTCCAAAGGAAATTATCTGTTCAGAGCAACGTGATCTTTCTTTGTAATTTTTCGTGTTCTGTGGAGGCAGAAGTCCTACTCCGTCAGTCCGTCTGACCAGCGCTGCGAACAAGGAGGAATTCATTTCTCCTCACTGCTGCACCTCCCAGTCTCCCTTCAGGAAAGTTTATACTTTTCATCTGTTCACTTTAACATCGATGTTTTAGGACAGAGTTTGTGGCAATTTTTCTGACTGTCACTTGGACCTGCTGGTATAGCTTACTACACAAGTTCTCTTTTGCAGAATGCCTCAGCATCCCTCCCTGCTGTGCACAGCCGGTCTCGCACCATCGCTGCTGGGCTCTTCTCCAGCCCCGCAGCCCCTGCCATCTCGTTCCCAGCTGCCCTCTCCCGTGGCACCCTGCTGCCCCGTACTGTGGTGCCCCCCCATAGCTGATGTGACCTCAGTTCCTCTGGCCCTCTTTCTTTCTTCAGGCTTTGTCAAGTTCTTTTCCATAGTTTTAAGTAAAAAAACTTTTCCTGAATCCCCCGTTTAAAGCACATAAGGTGCATCGTGGGTAATACTAATTTTCATGGGAACGCTAAAGGGGAATTAAATTATCTGTGTGGAAAAGTAGCAGTTTTATCCTTCTGCAGAGGAAACTGCTTATTACATTAGCCTTCTCAGTTAGTTAGGTTATTAATCAAATGGTTAATCACATGTTGTAGACACCCTATATTTAAGACAGTGCATCTAGGA